TTCTCCTGAATTACGTAAGAGTCAAAATCGTGCCGCTCAACGTGCATTCAGAGAAAGAAAAGAACGTCATTTAAAAGATTTAGAAAATACAATTAAATCATTAAGAGAAAGTCAATACGAATCTGCCGTCAAAGCTTTTCGCGAAAGTCAACAATTACGTTCGTTGATCGAGCGTCTTCAGCATGAAAATCTTTATTGGAAACAAGTTTCTGTTAACTTTGAAATGGTCCTTAATCATATTTGTGGAGGAAACGATACAACTTCTAAAATCAAGAGTACTATATTATCTCGTGTTCAATCTCTTTCACCATCTTTAAATTTTACCGGTCCTTTAATGGATAATCAAGTACCTTCGGTCCCTGTTGAGATGGGTAGATCTTTACAATCATTTAATTTAATGAATAATAACATCTCCGGTGTAAATTCTTTTATATCACCGCCAAATAGTACTATCTCTTTATCACCAGGATCTTCAATAGCGAAAAGTCCTCCTATCTCACCTCATTTGAATCATCAAAATTTGGAAAATTTGGAGAATTTGGAAAATTTGGAAAATTTGGAACCGTCCAACACTTTACCGAACATACCAAACATACCGAATATACCGAATATATTACCAAACATACCAAATATACCAAACGAAACATTTATTGATGGTTCGGAACTTTCAAAAACTTTCGTTCTATCAAAATCTAACGACGTCTTGACAAACAATGACTCATTCACTACCACTTCTGATCTTGTTGTTCAGAATCCTGATTCACTCTCGGAATCCATATTTAATGAAAATTATGAATTATTCTCACCTAACGTTGATGAATCAAGAGAGATTTATTCGAATTTCAATCTTAATAACGTCGTCCTTACAAATTCAGAGATATCAAGTGATTTATTTAAAGAACTTGATCAAGCAGTTCGATTAGGGAAATTAGTTGGAGTAACAGATATTTATAATACACCGGTTGTTCCAAAATTTAAATATCCTCTTACCAATGCACAAATTCATTATTTAACATTACCACATGATAGACGAATTGATTTAATTCCATGTCTTCATTTAAGATCTAGAATGATTCAATATCAAAATAATTATGATCTTTATGATTTAATTGAATTATTAATTACAAAAGCGAAATGTCATGGAGATCCTTTAGATCCTGATTCATGGGAATTACCAGAAGAATTTTTTACAAATTATGAATATTTGGTATTTTCTCATTGTAGACTTAAAAGTTCGTTATATCAAACTTATGGTCGATTACCAAATGATTTTGCAAATTCATATCAAACTATGCTTTCACGTAAAGTTAATACTACTACTTGATTTTAGCAATTATCAAATTATTAAATTATCAAATTATCAAAATTATCAAAGTTAAATTTTAGAAATTAGGTTCTTTTAGATAGTAGGTTCTTTAATGATAATACATCTTTTTTTATTTTTTTTTGTACATATTAAATAGGATTGTACCTTAAACTTTTTTTCTCATGTTCATACATAACAAACAGTACACGTTCATATTTTCATTTCACTTGTTATTGATTCATTTTGTTATTTGATTTCACATGTTATTTGATTGGAAGGACATTTTATTCATTTTCTTGCACTCACCTTTTTTTTTTTTTTTTTTTTTTTGTTACGAAATATTTATACATTTTTTTACTACTAAATACATTTTTATATTTTGTGTTGGACACTTTTTTTATTTTATTTATTCAACGAATTATTTCAACGATGAATAGATATTTTGAAATTTTGTATATATATATATTTGATTATTCATTTTACTTTATTATTTTAATTTTTGTTTCATTTGTGATATTTTAAAACTTTAGTCTAAACGATGACTAGAAAAAAAAAACATTGGAATTTATTTAATAAAAAAAAAAAAAAAACCGAAAAAAAGTTAAATCTCTTGTCATTTTTTGTCATAATTAATTGTGAATGATAATGCGAACGTGAATTGTAATGTGAATATATGAATAGTAATCACAAGACGCAACTACGTATATGTATACAAAACACAACAACTTATACGTATGATATAAACTAACTTGATTCATGTTAATACATTTTTAATGTTAATAACGTTAGTATGACGTTTATAAAAATTTGAATTCCTAAAATCACGATTTTCAATATCGATATTCATTATAGATATTCAATCGATATTCAATGCCGATAATAACAATATTGTTTTAATAACGCTCACACAAAGTACTGCCTCACAATCAAAAAAACAGGTTTAACGGCCGAGTTTTATGCAGTATCAGTTTTTTTCCTTTGTTTCTAGAAGTCCAAAATTAGATATAAAAAAAAATACTGTCAATTTTTTATTTTTATAGTTAATAAGTCGGGGTAACGGAAATGCCCGATTTTTTTTTATTTTTACCATCTTTAATTTCCAAGTATACTGCGCCGCGCCACATGG